ATAAAAAAAAAAGTATATATATATATATATATATATATATATATAATGGGTGACAACAAAACATCTGGTAAATGTAAATTTGTTTTGTGAAATAAATATTTTAGATCAATAAACTAAAGAGGGAAAAAACGACAAAAGTCCTTGCATGGATTGTATAATACTTTATGTATTGCTGTAGTTGTTAAAATAAATACATAATCTATTAATAAAATGCGAGTCAGAGAAGCTGTAGTAATTACACTGATGCCAGTTGTCTTTAATTCTAGTCAGAGGGAAAACATATTTCGCATTGATTTAATATTTAATGAGTTATTAATTACCATGAGAAGCAGAAAATATGTCAAATTATCCCTTTTATTTACTAAATATGTATTATGTGTGCAATATATACAGTATATTGCAGTTGGTGAATTGTGTGAATTACACGAATGCAGTTGATTTCTAAAGACATGTACATAGTTTTCTTTTTTATTGTTTATTTACTTATTATATTGCTTTGTTTAGTGGTGGTATTTATTACAATAATCTGTGCAGTTTTATTCACGTCGAATTTGTGTTTGTAAATGTTCACTGTTTCGCAATAAAAAAGAAAAAAAGAATTTTATTTTGAATATAATTCCGCATATCCGGTGGTGCTTACTGTGACCTTAACATTATTTGGACACTTAAATTCTAATTAGTTCTGTCTTACATGCATTGTATTTAATAACCAAAAAAGAAAGCAACTGTCCTGGTTTGTAAAGAAAAGTAGTGCACTTCACAAGCAAAACCTAAAAAAAAATGCTTAAAGCCTGACATATGAAACAATAATCAGCAATATCCTTTTTTGGGTTAAATGGATGAGGATCTTGAACCTTTAGACGAGTTATAAAAGACAAAATGCATATGTTATGCGTCATATTTGATACATCTGGCTCGAACCGTGTGATATAATGAGAATATAGAGAAAAAACAGCTCCGCTTTATTCAGAGACTCAAACTGAGCTTCCAGATGCTGATGTGTAGGTGATGAAATTCTGATGCTTGTAATGTAAATCAGTGAGATCTTCATAACAGCACAGCAGATACTTAGATAAAAAAGACTATATTCACAACAATATGTCTTAAGATGATATATAAATGCTTAGTTTTATGATCAAAGCAATGCTATTCAATGATAGAGATATGAACAAAAACTAAAACTAAACTATCAAACAATATAAACTTCACATAAAGCAATTCACGTATACCAAATATGCTTAGTGTGTGTTGCAATTTATTATGCAAAGCAATGCATAATGAGTATTAATTGCTACTCTTGATGTTTTTTGGCTGTGATGGGTTTTCAAAGGCTTTGTTTTGCTGCTCTGGTGCTGACAGATGTTTAATAGTAGATAGTAGTTATCCTCACAATCACACTCTGATATTCACATTATGAAGCTGAATAATAAGGCATTGGGCTGTTTGTCTATTAAAGTATCCCTTTTATTGACTAAATATGTATTATGTGTGTAATATATATATATTGAGTTGGTGAATTGTGTGAATTACACGAATGCAGTTGATTTCTAAAGACATGCACATGGTTTTATTTTTTTACTGCAGTAAACTACATTTGATCTAAAAGCCGTTTACTGGACACTTTGCTTCAGCTTTGGGGTTGGTTTGGTTTGTGATCTGGAGTGTTTGGTTTAATGGAGATCTGCTCATGGACAGGTAATGCTTATATACCATATATACACTTCAGATAGCAATCCAAATATGGTTTCCACTCATGAGATTTGCTCTGAGATTAATACAATTTTACTGCCTGAAAAAAGCAAAGGAAGTTCAGTTTAAAGTGTTGCACAGATATCACCAATGCAAAGCTCTTCCTAATAAATCAAGGACCGTATCTGACTATTGTAACCTTGAACTTGAATCTCTTACAATTTGTTTACATTTTTTTGGCATTTGCAATATTTGAAAGGTTTCTGGACCCAGATATCCATGTTAAAATGTCATGCATTTAATAAAATAATTACAATTGAATAAAACTTACATTTGCTTGGGAGGTTTCTTCTTTTGCATAAACCAAAACATTGTGTGTTTTATGACAACGACCTCCTACTTTAATATTTCAGTGTGGTAATTTATGCTAAACTTGGATTTGGTGTTAAGTATAAATTATAGATGTATGTTTTACTGAACAAAAAAAATACAATTCTAGTAAAATGTGTGATGCTTTGAAACACATCGACGAAGCCCTCTCTTTTTAAAAATATTTTAAATGCTTAAAAATATTTGTAAGTATTTCAACATCAAATTGCAAAATAAATAAAAAATGATCAACAATAGTCCAAGGATTAGCACATTTAGATTTTCAAAATCAAATCTCTGAATGGTTTATCTTTTAAATTGACGTCGAAAATGTTTTTAATTGATTATTTTGAGTTAAAAAGACTTGGATATGAGATTTGACTAAAATGAAAATAAAACTAAAATATTCATTACTTTAAAATATTCAATGTAAAATATGAATAAAAACTATGATAGTATATTAATGCCTAGTATTATGTTTGTAAAACAACTTTTGCATGTGTAAACGTCACTCACGTTTTCTTTAGGAAACAAAGTCTGCATTATTTTAACATCTTATATTTTTAAGATTTATCATCTTATAAACATTAAACAATCCAGTGAGAAGCATGCATCTTAATCACACATGCTATTTGGGACAGGATGAGCTCTTCCTATTGATTGAATTGTGCATCAAAAAGATGTTTAATGATTATTCAATTTTCAATTAATTTTGTAAGTTTACAGCAACTTTTTTCCAGTCTTGGCAGACTTTTAGCAAAATAAATAGTAGGTCATCAGGGAATTATTATGTGCATAAAAAGTGCATACTGTGCTATGCACAATTATACATATATACAGTGTATAAATATTAGTAGTAGAATGCATACTATCTTAATTATTATTTAGACATACTATATTTATATGCCACAAAGCATTCTGATGGGTCTCTCGCTCTCTCTCACACACACTCAATCATTTCCTCATGACATGATTGTGCTGATTGTAACTTGATAACTGTTTGAACAAAAGACTCCAGACCTGTGTTTGAGATAAAGGAATTGCGCTCAAACCATCAGCTGTTCTCTACAAACCTCGAGCAGAGAAGAAAAGCCGGTCCTGCTTCTGTCTGCTGCTTGTTGTCTGAATATCTAATGGCACAGACTAAAACCAGCTCATAAAGTGATGCAATGTGTGCGCGGACAGCACGGCTTACAGAGTTCAGGGTGTGTTCGCGGGGCGATGAACAAGCAGCCCACTGTTCGTTCACACACACACACACACACACACACACACACACCTGAGCAAGAGCGAGAGCATGAGTGGAGTCTGTGTTCTGCTGTTTGAGCAGGGAGAGGCACTTTAGCAAGGCGTCCACCTCTGAAACACAGCCGACTGATCTCTGGAGGCCCCAAAGTTCATGCATTGTTTAAATCAACAGGTTTTAAGATTATGGGAAACTAATTCAGTGTAGATTACAGCGCATAATGCATCATGACATTAACACTTTATGAGTTCATTATGAGATTCCCAAACTATTTTGTCAGCTGAACCCATTTGAGCTAAATATTAGATTTTAAGGTAACAGGTAAAAGTAAAGTGTTGCCGATTTTGGGTTAATATTTAAATAATAAACTTTAAATCAACAGGTTTATGATAACATCATAAACAAGTTAAACCAGAGATTCCCAAACAAACTTTTTGTCAGCTGAACAACACATTTGCATGTATGCATTTCGGTTAATGGTCGCATTTTACATTACGATCATTTTGATTTGTTTTTAGTTTAAAAATATGGGTTTATGTCAAGTTCCATCAACTCGTGAACAGTTTGGGGGGGGACAAAATTAAATGATCCAACTCAGAATTAATAAATCCAACTCACTTGGAATGGTTTCAATTTCCAAGATTATGGGGGGGGCTGAAAGAACAAACACCCTTTGTGATTCCATAATTACGATTTCTGTTTTATTTGGATGAATTGTGCAGCCGTAATGGACGGTTACTACACTCACGGAATACTTTCAGTTTAGTTTATTTATTTTCAGTTAGTAATTTACTTTATTTACTGCATTTGAGTTAGCAGCCAAGGCAACATTTCTAATATTCATTTAATATTTATATATTCATATTTATACATATATATATATATATATATATGTTTTTATTATATATTATATATTATTTTAGTTCTCAAGTTCACTGCGCTTCATATTTTTGCGGGAATAGTGATACACTGCCATTCAAAAGTTGTGTAGAAGTAAGATTAAAAAAAAAAGTTTCCCCAAAAATATTGGGCAGCACGACTGTTTTCAACATTGATAATAATCAGAAATGTTTCTTGAGCAGCAAATCAGTATATTAGCATGATTTCTGAAGATCATGTGACACTGAAGACTGGAGGAATGATGCTGAAAATTCACAGCAATAAATTATTTTAATATATATTTGCATAGAAAACAGCTATTTTAAATTACAATAATATTTCACAATTTTACTGCATTTTCAATCAAGTAAATGCAGCCTTGGTGAGCAAAAGAGACTTCTTTCAAAAACATAGTGTGCATTACTTGACGCTTGTCTCTCTCTCTCTAGGATGGTGATCTGCAGTTCCTCAGTCTGGAGGAGCGGGAGTGTATTTTGTTCTTTGAGGAGACCATCGGCTCTCTGGAGGAGGACGATGAGAGGACGGGAATATCTGCAGGCGAGCGTCCGGACTCATACGCTCGACATCCCAGCCCTGTAGATCAAGACATCATTGACCTGGTGCACCCTACAGCCCATCCCAGCACACAGAGGGACACGCTGCCCGTCATGCCAGGTATCCAAAAAAACAACAACTCAATATAAACCACAGAAAACATTCCAATTCTGCTTTTAATCATCATAAAACCTCATCCTAAACATGCAAAAAGCTGTGCTTTGAAAAGTTAGTAAAGCCACAGCACACACTATATGTGTCCCTGCAGCACAAAAGCAGTGTTAAGTCGCTGGGGGATATTTGTAGCAATAGCCAACAATACATTGTATGGGTCAAAATTATACGTTTCTCTTTTATGCCAAAAATCATTAGGATATTAAGTAAAGATCATGTTCCATGAAGATATTTTG